CACATGCCATGAAACCCTCCTAATCTCTGTTCACTTCTTCTAGACAAACAGTAATACTCAAAATCATGTAAAAAGGAGTTAGACAGATCAATAGAATCAGTTAACGTTTCCGAGAGACAAATAATATCATAAGTTTTCAAATACACATCAATTATACCAGCATTTAGCTTACTGGTCAAACCATTAACATTTAATGCTACAACAGAAAGCAAGATAGGGCTAGTGGTAAGACATGCCAAAAGGGGGTCTTCGTTTCCCTAGCCAGAGACATCAATGAAGAGACCTGAGCTTTTGAGCTTCTCCTCCCCCCAACCTAACTGTTTGAACAGGTCTTCTGGAGAGGAAAGTACATATTTCTTCTGCGGATCCTTCTTTAGAGTGCAGAAGATCTTGCAGTCTACTGTCCACACTTTCTCAGTTTCTTCATCTCGTTTAACGACATGAAGGAGCTTGGCGCGTGATGGGGCCAAATGCTCACCCAGCATAACGTCCTTGTATTCGGTATCCCGCAGCTGTCTCTTCTTCCGCAATAAAGCGGTGCGGGTATCCCTTCTAACAAAGCGGGCTACGATTGGGCGGGGCTTTGATGGATGTGGCCTGCCGACACGGTGGCTAGTGCTGATGTCGGCCTCGCTGAGAGTAACACCAGCCTTCGCTGATATTTCCATCACCACTGCAGTCGTTGATTCAACATCTTTTTCAGGCACCCCTCGAAAAACTATGTTATCCCGTCTGGAATATTGCTCAACATCGTCGAGCCTGTTGTCGTGAAGCTATAAAACAGCTTGGGTTTTTTCCTTCGATATGTGGGTGGTGGTTGCAATCTGTGTTGACAAAGAGTGGATCATAGGTAGAACGACAGCCACAACAGCCTTCACGATATCGCCGACCAGCTCCTTGCTGGAATCACGAGTAGCAGCGGCAGTACCCCTTCCACGTGGACGATCAGGAATAAGTGCCATTGCACTAGCTACCACATCTTCGATCTTGGAGGTGATATCAGCATCATCTTCCACGGGGAGAGCCTGAAACTTGTTTGCTACCTTTGCCATTGCTCTAAACAATCTTTCAATGTTCTTTCAATAATATCAAGTCAACTAACTCGCCTAACACAAAAGCGGGTATGTGGGGCAGTATACAGGACATGTGTTCCAAGTGTGCTCACGTGCCAAAGTTCACATTAAAATCAAAATAGAAACACAGCATACATGGGTGGCAGATTCATCCAAAACAGAGCCTAGGTGACACATTGAAGTATGACTATATGAAATATTCAGCAAAATCAAGCAAAATGTGTCATATAGAGATGAAATCCAACAGCAAGATAGTGCAGTCCCAAGCCATACCATACCAGAGTACTGTGATGTTATAGAGCATAGCTATTCACAAGACCAAAAGAAGGTGGACAAGTACGTCTTCAAAAATTTAGAACGACGCAAGGTCAATTTTCATTGTCTTTTGTTGGGCAGTGAATTTTGGAATAGATTACCTAAGTATTAATGTCAGATTAACAAGGTCTTAAAATGGGTTTCGGAATTATGTTACAAGTCATTTGTTGAATAAATCATGAATGAACTATCAAGTTATATAGCCTGAATATGTAAAAAATAATATATATTACATTATCAATTTTTGTATTGTAAGACATTGTGAAGTGTTCTTATTTATCGATTGTAATAGTAAATTCCTTATTTTTGTTTTGTTACGTTTTCTAAATTGATTTGTACCAAACTACTATGTTTAGCTTTTTAAGGGGTAAGGCTCGACTAGCACATGTGCTATTATCTGGTCCCTTTTACCAACCAATATCTTCTGTTCTTGTATATTAAGCACATTGTATTAGTATTACTGTAATGCTATTGTAATGTAATGTTGGTAAATGAAATAAAATCAAAATCAAATCAAATCAATCTTTATCGTTATCATAGCAATCATGTAGACTCCTATATTATGATGTTTCAGATAGTAGCAAACACTTAACCAACATATTGAGCTCCAGGTCCCTTGATTTCTGTAGAAACTGATACCATGCTGTCATCAGAAATGTAGAAACGTGGATATGTTTGACGGTGCATTCGAGCGTATAAGTATAAAGGGATTGTGATTTAATGTTTGGTTGTGTTTCCGTGTTACAGTATCGTTACGATTTTTTGCTGGCGTTGTTATGGATAGTGCAGTTAGCTAGTACTTGATTGAGACGTTTGTCAAAGTTATTGTTAACGATATGAAACGCGCCTTCCATTTTGGGCTTTAATTTGGGGATTAAAAAGTTCGACTTACGGGGCGTCGATCGGGGGGGGGGGGTGTCCTATATAAATTTTGAATTACAAGTCACAACTGTGTAACATATAGGCACATGGTACTTTCTTCACTTTTGTCATCTTACTAAGTTGCGTACTTTAAAAAGGGAATATCTTCGCTCGGTTGCTACGTTGCCTTGCACATTCACGTTAGGAAACTAGATAGGCAGAGAATCCATTGTGTGTTTAAAGCAAGTGCTATGGTACAGAAATACGCAGAGCATGTCTTTCCCACAAAAACCGGGGATCGTTGGGAGGTCTCTTCCCGGTAAGAAATGTTCAAAGGGATCGCTCCAAGCTACTGGAGAGTCGCAATTACTGTCTAAATGAAGTTTTAACCCTACATCCCTTATAGGATAAAAGTGAGATTGTGGTGTAAGCTTGCGTTGAAAAATGGATTAAATGGAAAGTTCGAAAGTATTTTGTTGTACTCACTTGTAATGATACAAGTCAACTTTCACCCTGATCTGATTGTTCTCTGAAATGATGAAAAACTACGTAATTTCTTTGTTCTTCACAAGGCCCCGAATACCATTTCGTCTACCATCCATAAGGTCTTATAATCATTACATAATTATTATTATTTATGATGAAATGATTATTAGACCAAATGGATAGTAGACAAAACGGGCATTAGACCAACTGAAATTTAGACTAAAAGATCAATAGACCAAATGGGTAGTAGACCTATTGGAAATTAGACCAAATGACTATTTGCTTAAAATGTCATTTGATGAAATGATAAAAACACGAGGTGATTACTAGACCATGAAGATAATACTAATATGTAATAATAGGCATTTCTATAGCGCCGTCTTATCTAGAAATTCTATTCTTAAGGCCCGGTCACACAGAGGGGACGCATGGGGGACGCACGGCCGGCGCATGGAAAATTTGCAATTTTGGCCAGTGCGTTGTCGTGCGCCCAACTTTTGTCGAAGCTATACAGCTAGCTGACACCAAATGCATAGCGCGCTGGACGCATACAGGGCGCACACAGAGCGCACATGAAAACAACTTCCACGAATGCACAGCGTGTTGCTAGCGCGCTGGACGAATGGTCCACGCATGCACCACGTTCTACGACGCACGGCCAGCGCATTGGAAATCGGAAAAGAACGTGTGCCTAACTTTTGTCATAATTTTGGAAAAGCTAGCGAGCTGACACAAAATGCACGGCGTGTAGCTAGCGCGCTGTGCGTATACAGGGCGTGTGCTCCGCGTTTGTCTGGCGCTGGTCTAGCGCGCTCCACGCATGTCTGGCGCTGGTCTAGCGCGCTCCGGCGCATGTCTGGCGTGCCTTTGGCGTGTATATTCATGCGTCGAGCTCGGCGCACGTTTTTGAGCATGCTCAAAAAATCCCGACGCACACAGCGAATGACGACGCATGCATAGCGCTGGTCCAGCGTTGGTCCAGCGCGCTCGACGAACGAGTAACGAATGATGACGCACGCCTAGCGAACGACAACGCACTAGCCCAAATTGCAAATTTCCAATGTGCTGGCCGTGCGTTCCCCATGCGTCCTCCCTGTGTGACCGGGCCTTTACGAGGCGCACTAATTGTTACCCGGCTTTAGCCTAGCTGGCATTAAAGCGCTCCAGCATTTCAAGGAATTAATTCCTGCCAGCTAAAAGATAAACGACAGGTGTAAACTGTATGGGTAAAGACCAATCGGGTAATAGCCGAACTAACCAAATGGCTATAAACCTTTGAGTGGTACCCAAAATATAGGTCTGTATTCTTTTTCTTTTCATCGGTTATTTATTTTGGGATCTTCTTTGTAACACCAGATGCACGGTTCATTTACGAAGAAAAATGTTGTTTTGCTGGAGAAGAGCTTCTTGACGTCACAGACCTTGGATTTCAACGACTTCAAATAGTGGCTTGAGTAAACAATGTACCTGTACCAGTTTAGCATGTACATTTCCACGAACATATCCATGATTCTCGAAAGTCTGTGTTTAAGAGAGAGAGAGAGAGAAAGAGAGAGAGAGAAAGAGAGAGAGAGATAGAGATAGAGGGAGGTAGAAAGAGAGGGGAAAGAGATAGAGAACGCGGCGTACGCAAAGTCTGAAATATAATTGTCATGTATATATCTTATCAAAATGGTCGTACATGTTTGTCGAGTCGTATTTGTATACGGCTCGCGTTATAGGTTTGACTACATAGGGTGTCATGTTAGTTCTTTGGACCCTATAATAAACTAAAAGATAAACACATTGCATCAATACCATTAGTACAACAAATTATGGAATGGTGTAGTTACGGGGGGAGGAGGTACTAAGGTACTAATTGCCTTCAATTGATTGGCGAAAGAGAGAGAAAGAGATAAAGAAAGACAGAGACAGAGACAGGGGGTAAGTGAAAGGGGGTGAAGAAAGGCAAAGGGAGGAGGGGATAGTACGAGAAATGCGATAGAAACCCTTTCCATGCCTTCCCCCCTTCCGCGATCTGTGAAATGTTAAATTCCTTTCAGTTACTGACTACAAAAAAGTGCCCCCAGCCCTCCCCGTGATGCTAGTGCCCCCTCAATGGCTGGACCCAGGCTACGCCACTGACTGGTCAAAACTTGACCCTTGTATTTACATAAAGACCACGCGAACTTTAACACGGGTCATCCATCACATGTCAAGAAGATAAATTACTTTTACACATGTGAGAAACTTGGTGGTTTAGGAACCGTTGCTGGGTTCAAACATGGACCTTACCCCATGGTTTAACCAACAGTCAGGCAAGTCCGCCCTGAATAATTTCGGGAGGACGCGTGATCGCAGACAATGGACTCGCTACACTCATTTCTATATTTGGCTGCCGGGCTAATAATAAAAGTGGATCATTTCCACCCAGGACTAGCTAAAGGCGTTGGCAGGCACAACTTGTAGCAAGGGGATAAAGTAACTTAAGGAAATCATTTGCGATGTCTGAAATGTTTTCGAATGGTTTGGTTCTTGCGTTGGCCTTGATTTCAATGGTCAAGGTCTCCACCGGAGACTTTAACCTTACGGTTTTGCACACTAATGACTGTTATGACCGTATCGAATAAATCAGCGGCTCGGGTCTACCATGCAACCCAGAGCTCCTGGCAGATGAAAGGTGCTTTGGAGGGGTAGCCCGACGGGCCACGGTCCTCAAGGAAATTCGTGAGAGGGACTCCGGGAATGAAAACATCATTTTCCTGGATACAGGTGACCAGTTCCAAGGCACAGACTGGTTTTACTTCTACAAGGGAAATGCAACGGCACACTTTATGAACCTGCTAGGTTACGATGCTATGGTAAGTGGTGGGCATAATTATTTATTAATAATAATAACTTTGGGCAACATTGTTTTAAAATCGTTTCAAAATTACAGTAAGTTTATTGGCTGCATATATCTCTTTCAAAAAGTGTTTGAACTAACCATAAAAATCCCATTTTCATTCAAATTGTATTTAAAATGTCTTGATTTAGTGCTTACGTCATTCATCATTGTTATCTTATGAATCAGTTACATCATGACCACAATTTTGTTACCAATTAAAGAGAAGAAGATACTGAAGAGAATACAAAACTTTCTGTATGTGTAACATTTTCATGTTTATGTAAATTATGTAAATGTGCTTAAGGGTCTCCAATTCCCTGCATCTAACCTATGTTTCTAAAGCGGTTAGTACAAATGTTTCTAACCGCTTTTTCATCAGTTTGTCAACACATTTAAAATCATCTTACATAATTTAAGAAACTAACGACATAACAACTTAGTAAGTTGTAAGCGATATCAGACGAAACAAAGGAAAAGGACAATAAGGAAGAATATATCAAAGTTAACAAAACACTACTTGTAATATATTCTTTAAACTACCATAAAAAGACAAAACGTGGTCGCTCGCAACATGTAGAAACGGGATGATTTCAGGCAGCCAAGTGCCTGCATGGGTTACTCCCAAATTGGCCTCGAAAAGTACAAGCATCCGACGATTTTTTTTTTTTTGGTCAAAGTGCAAACGTTGGCTTAATTTATCATGTTTTAGATGTGATGTATTTATGTCTGTAATTGTACATAGAGGATCCCTTGTAAGAATACTCGTTTTTGAAAGGGCCGCCCTGTATGAGAAATACTGAAGCAAATAAGCTAAAAAGTCTATACAAATATTGATAATTTTTTTTCCATTTCATTTATTTCCACTTCTCATAAAAAAATATTTAACAATTTACGTACACTATCTGATTAACACATATATGCTCCCGTTTAGCTCTAAAACAAGGAATACTTTTACAAAATATATCTATGTTTAGAGTGCGACCATCAGCTGCTGGTAATACCTTATTTAGACATATCGAAACCCCAATATTTACAGGCTTTGCGAACTGTTTAAAAGTAGGAAACAAATCTTTATCCATTTTTGGTCAGATCCGTTACGGTTACAAAGAGTCCCTTTCTGTTCAGCTATTCGCTAAAATACTCTAAAGTTTTCTATTTTTATTTATTTTTTTATTTGTTTTATTGTAATATATTTATTCTGGATAACAAGAATCAGATATACATTGTAGATACAAAATCTGTTTTACATGTATGTTCTTGATAGAAAAACGTGTCTGATGCCGCTACTCAATTTGTTTTATGACTCAGATTTTGCCTAGTACTTTGTTAATAACAAAAGATAAATCTGAATGTCACGTCTCTTACGCTGGAATGGAACTTATCTGGATAGTCCACAATTTTACCCATCTCCTCCAGTGGCGTAGATCCTTCGGAGGGATGAATGAATAGATCACCCCCCCCCCCTCCTGAACAATTGGTTTTGCGTAAGGATCTACGCCACTGATCTCCTCATACCTGTTGAAAGCAGAAAAATTCAAATTCAACAAGGGTTTTTTTCCTCTCTCTTCTTATTTATTTTAATTGTATTGCTCGGGTATCTTGTACTTTCTGTTTCGCATTGGTTCGTTGATTTGCAAATACATGTTCAAACTTTCCCAGGCTTTCGTTTGGTGCATGGATCAAAGATTATTGTTCAATGTCTCACCTTCACAAAGCTGAAAATGTCAACCCATATGAAAAAGTTGTTATTGGCTAGGAATGATCAACCAAGTTGTTGAGTTTTAAAGGCAGCAAAACTGATGATAAAAAGACAAATCTAAAATCTCAAGCAAGATAAGATTTCCATATTTTTTTCTTCTTTTTTGTGTATGCAGTTTATTTGTATTGCTCGGGTATCTTGTATTATCTTTTTCGCAATGGTTCGTTGATTTGCAAATACATGTTTAAACTTTCCAAAGCTTTGGTTTGGTGCATGGATGAAAGATTATTGCTCAATGCCTCTCACCCCCACAAACCTGAAATATTCAACCCTAATGAAAAAGTTGTGTTTGACTGGGAATGATCAACCAAATTATTATGTTTTACGTGCAGCAAAGCTGGAATTGTGCATCACCATAATGACGATAATGATATTCGAAATAAAAAAATAACCTATACAACAGCTTTGTCAACTCTCATTTTAAGGATGACAATTCAAAAGGAAATGAGAGAATACTGGTTGCGTAGCTTAAATCAAAGTTCTCCATTGCTGTCCAAATGGGAGCACAGCAATGGGGAGTGACATCGGACTGTTTAAAGGAAGTGAAGCATGACGAGACTACGTATCTTTCCCGTGGCCTGACTCGGGGAGAATCGGGTATACGACTAAGGGTATGTTTATGCTCAACTTTTTCTGGCCAGAATCAGGCATCCGTTACGCGTTTAGGTAAAAACACGGTTGCGTCCTTGCTCATTTTTTGTAGAATCACCGAAAAACGGCAATCACGATCGCCGATCGTAAACTCACAAAAAGGTGCGTTTACGATCGGCGATGCTGCAAAATCGACGATTCTTGGAAGCATAAACGCACAATCATGTGTAAACGCGTTTAAATGGGGTCAACGCACTGACCTCTAGTGGTTCTACGTAGCATGCGCAGTGCAGGTTTGCGAATAGGGCTGCAAGGCCACCCAGCCAGATTTGCCCGGAGGAGCCAGAGAAGTGAGCATAAATAGTACATCGTGGAAATGCGATTACGATGAGCGTTTACGATCGCTCATTCTACCTTCAAAATCAAGCATAAACGCACCCTAAGGACGACGCGACGGCGACGCGACCGCAGCAAAACCGAAGCGTGAGGAGAAAATCGGTCTGTTTTGTTAGATACTGCATAATTAACATATACACGCGCGCACATACACTCAATCAGATAATTATTTAAATATATATGTATTATAAAATAATTATATGTTTATATAGCAATGACAACAGTTGAAGTAAAGATTCTTGAGATTTCAATTCTACACCATTTTCGGTTACAAATTATTTCGGCAGATAGTGAGTTCAAAATGACAAATAACCAAATAAGTGCAACAACCAAAATTGCGCTAATTAAATGGCGTGTCGCTTGGAACGGAACAATCATTTATGTATTGTTACATCAAAGTCAAAATCATTTTGTGTCGATACCTTTCTCTATTAAGTACTTCACTATCACGAAGTGTTTTTTTTTATATCAGCAAAGCTAGTGATATCATGAATACATTATGCAATATGCATACATATTCATACAATAACCGCATCGTTCTCTATGTTGAATTTAGACTTGTTAAGCTCCGGCTAAAACGAATTTAGGAAATATTTTCTGTTGTCTTAAGTTAAGTTTCATTGTTTGTTCTCATTCTATAAAAGGTGTAACATCTAATTCTGGACTAATTCATTTTGTACCATAAGTGTCCATTACGTTTATAACGAGTCCCTATCGGTTCAGCTATTCGCTGAAGTACTCTAGAATGTTCTATGTATGTTCCTGTTAAAAGAAAACGTGTCTGATGCCGCTTCTGATGTTTGTTTGGTGCCTTAATTTTGCTTCAAATTTTGTTAATATCGAAATATAAATCTGAATGTTACGTCTCTCCCACGCTGGAGTGGAACTTACCTGGATTGTCCCAGATTTTAATAATCCTCTCATTCCTGTTGACAGAAGAAGAATACGCGTTCCCCGAACTCAACAAGGTTTTTTTTTCTCCCTATTCATGAATTTTAATTGAATTCCTTGGGTGTCTTGCTCTGTCTGTTTCGCATTGGTTCATTCATTTGCAAATACATGTTCAACTTTGCCCAGGCTTTCTGTTGGTGTATGGGTGAATGATTATTGTTCAATGCCTCACCCTCACAAAGCTGGAAAATGCAACCCTAATGAAAAAGTTGTTATTGACTAGGAATGATCAACCAAATTATTATGTTTTACCAAAGAGTTTTAAGAGATGGAGTCCTATCTAGCACATTCCATATGAACCATCTTCGATGCCGCCAGGAGAAAATATGTCAGGCATGTGCTTAATTAGATCTTCCAAGCAGATACGTAGACAAAAGATTCCTGCCCAGCTGCAAACTAACTGGCCACTTTCAAAGGGAAATACGCTTTTGTAATGATAATTACTCATTTTCGCTACCACTCGTCCGATAATACGAGCAGTACACAGTGCTTACCTTTACAGGAGGCAAGCGAAAGGAAATGAAGCAGAATTTTTCTGAAATATTAATCAAAATTACTCGACTGGGCATGTGTTGGCACTAATCTGATATATAACATCATAAAAAACTGTACATGAACAAATTCAATTTTTATTTTCATGAGCCGAAAATAATCGGAAAAGTGTCAAATTGCAGGATTTAGGACTGTAAAATGTTACTATTTTTCACAAATTAAAGCTGCTTTCATACAATGTAAGCAAATTTCTTGACATAATTAGGCTTTTGTATTCATATTAGATCTTCTGTTCGATTTTCTCGGTGTTAGTTCAAATAAAAAGTGAAATATTAAGGATAGTTCTTTGTGAACAAAATCAAGTCTCAAGCTTTCCAATGATATTGGCGGCTTCGAACCTTGGACATCAAAGGTAACATCACACCAGTAGATTCTATTGTGCAACCATAGAAAATGGCAGCTGCTTGGAATAATTTGTTGTCAGTTGGGTCTCTATCTCTTAAAACTTCTTGGTTTCACCAGGGAGGTGAAAGAAAAGGAGGCGAAACTCTTGTAATTTATTCAAACGCATTCTTGAGTTCTAAAGCGTAACAATGGGATGTGTAACATTCCACTTGGCTTTGAAGTTCCATGCTCCGAATCGCGCTTCCACTGCGGGGACTTTCGGAAGCCAGGCACCAGTTTTACATTTATTACAAAATATTAAATTACCGGCAAAATTTCAGTGTAAATCAAAAACTTTATATTGGGATTTTATTGGGAATAGTGCATCAAACAAATTTTCAAATTTAGAACTCCGTCCTTCCTTTAATTTGTGTGCCAGAGTTGGTAAAAGAAAAATTACATCCTGTCAAAAACTCAATATTTTAGGATGATGCGCTAATTTGTGCATGCTTTAATGTCCCGTTATTTGATCCATGATTTACAATCTTCAATAACATTAAGTTTGCTAATGCGTGTTTTCGCGTGTTTTTTGTATTTTTCAAGTTTAAAAAAGGATGAAAGTACACAAGTTTGTGTTCGCTTATTCTACTCTTTACACATTCAACAATGGGTGAGAAATCATTGGAAGGGACAGCGAACAGTTGCAGTGATACCATTTTCTGATGTAGGAATTCTAAATCCTGAAATTTCATGCGCTCTTTTATCTCACCACCTGGTCAACAGTTGCAGATTAGCGCATAACTTTTCGGCGGCTTGGAACATGGGGTCAAAGGAGAGCGGCTTGATTCCAGTCCTTCTCTATCACGTCCCTGGTTTCACATCCAGCAAAACTGGTATTCTGCACCACCACGTAAAGGATAATGGTATTCAAAATAAATGCAAGGACATAACTACTTTGGCAAATTTAATAAAAATCAAAATGAAAAATTACCAACAAGTACAGCGAAAAACATTGCGCTAAAATGGCGTGTCGCTTGGAATGGAACAATCATTTATGTATTGTTACATCAAAATTATTTTGTGTCGATATCGTTCTCCATTTGTACTTCACTTTCACGTAATGTGTTTTTTGTTATATAAGAAAAACTAGTCATATCATAAAAAAAACATTATGCATACATATTCATACAATAACCGTATCATTCTCTATATTGAATTAAAACTTGTAAAGCTCTGGCTAAAAAGAATTTAAGAAATATTTCCTTTTGTCTTTTGTTCAGTTTCATTGTTTGTTCTCATTCTATAAAAAGGTACATCAAATTCTGGACCTATCCCATATGAAGTGTCAGTTACGTTTACAAAGAGTCCATATCGGTTCAGCTATTCGCTGAAGTACTCTAGAATGTTCTATGAATGTTCCTGATTTGAAAAAACATGTCTGATGACGCTACTGAAATTTGGTTGATGACTTGATTTTGCTTAAAACATAGTTAGTATCAAAAGATAAATCATACTTGTTGACAGCAGAAGAATACTTTAGTTCCGAATTCAACAAGTTTTTTTTTCCCTCTCGGTTCGTTCATTTGCAAATACATTTCAATTTGCCGAGGCTTTCTTTTTGTATATGGGTGAATGAGTATTGTTCAATGTCTTACCTTCACAAAGCTGGAAGTTCAACACCAATGAAAAGGTTGTTATTGACTTGGGATGATCAACAAAGTTGTTGAGTTTCACAGACAGCAAAATTAATAATAATGATAAGAAGAGAAATCGTAAAGATAAGATCTCCGATTTTTTTCTTCTCTCTTGTAATTATATTGCTCGGGTATATTGTATTATCTGTTTCGCATTGGTTCGTTGAATTGCAAATACATGTTCAAATTTGCCGAGGCTTTAGTTTGGTGTATGGGTGAATGATTATTGTCTTCTCTGCACAAAGCTGGAAAATTTAAACCCTAATGAAAAATTTGTTATTGACTAGGAATGATCAACCAAATCATTGTGTTTTACAGGCAGCAAAACTTAAATTCTGCACCAATATAGAAATAACCTGTACAACAGCTTTGGCAAATATCATAATAATGAACAATGTGAAAGGAAAATAGAGAATACTGGTTGCGTAGCTTAAATCAAAGTTCCCCATTACTGTCAAAATGGAAGGACAGCGATGGGGAGTAACATCGGAATGTTTAGCGTTTTGCAAAAGGGTGTGCTCAGTTTTTGTAGATACTGCATAATATACACACACGCGCGCACACACACTCATTCAGATATATGTATACATATATATATTTAGGTATATATATATATATATATATTGTGATACAAATTCAAACATTTGAAATAAAGATCCTCGAGAGTTCAATTCTTTACCATTACCGGTTTCAATTTAATTTCGGCAAATAGTCAATTTCAATTTACAAATTGAAAACAAGTGCAACAAATTATACAAACGATATTTGCAAGACAATTGCGCTTTAATGGTGCGTCGCCTGGAACGGAACTATCATTTAAGTATTATTACATCTTCAAAATTATTTCGGATGATACCTATCTCGATTTGTAGTTCACTATCACGTAATGCGTTTTTTGTTATATCAGCAAAAGTAGTGATATCATAAGTACATTATGAAAGCAAAGTAATTCACAATAACCACATCATTCTGTCTGTTGAATTAACACTTGTTCAGTGTGGCTGAAATAAATTCATGAAACATTTTCTGTTGTAACACATTCTGTTTCATTGTTTGTTCTCATTCTGTAAAAAGGTGTAGTACGTCAAAGTCTGGACTTATCCTTTTGCACATCTTGATATAATGTTTACTCTGAACAATTAAAGACTTGATTTATTCAAAATATCTTATGTGGTGGCGACGGATTGTCATTTTATTCCCTCAAATATCTCCTGTCTCTCTGACATATTGCATTTAACAACCATTTAAATTAAGACACAAAGCAAGTTTCTAGAGATGTGAATGAAAAGGTAACTTTTAAGTTTAGTGTTTTCGAATTCAAATTTAATTTACTGTTAAAAATTATTAATCTCGCAAACAATGCCACCTGTTCATCCAAGCGTGAACACATACCACACAAAAGTGGTACCAAATGATTTAGGATAAAACACTCTTTCACCAGATGTATAATAATCTACTGTTTATAGATGATTTTAAAAATAATTAGCAATTTTCTAAACTTTTTTTTGACTCACACGGTATTTCTTTTTGTGTGTCGTGGATGACAGGAGTAAAAATTGCAAGCATTAAGAGTGTCAGTTACTTTATAATATATATCCGTCTCCAATTTTCTACTTAACCCCATTACATTTATATCCAGGAACGATATCTTCTCTCCTGACACCTCCATTTTTAATTAAATAGCTGTTTGTGGAGTTTGCAGAATATCGCCAAATACTTAAATGTCTCGTTACTTTTTTTTCATCGAGGTATCTGATAAAATATTTTCCTTTGATTTGTATATAAAATGAATCAATAAATTGAAGTATACTAGCTATTACACAGAATTAAATTCAGCGACTTCTAGAACAAACCCTTCGGTTATTCTAGGTTTTCAACTCTTGATATTATGTTTCCAACCAATATCGAATGGCATCTTATCTAATCTGATGATCAATATAAATATATAGACTATCAACATCCAACGTAACCAAACAAAACTATTATCGTCAATATTTTCAGGTAGATGATTCTAGAAAAAGCTGGTTTCAGCACAATATCAATCAGCTTGCTTAGACGATGCCGAGCAGGACATACTGGTCCTGCGTCTATAATTGGTTTTATTTTCAAGTCCACATCAGCACCCCCATTCGACACAAGAGCTTTCTTTTTTTCTTCAAACGTTTTCTTTGATATATATATATATATATATATGTGCATTTTCATATACAAGGAAATAAGTTTTCAAGTGTAAAATGATTTTGATCTCGAACTTGCAGGGCTTGGCAAAAAGTGAGTTTTTAAGAGATGTTCCAGGACTGGTGCCGTTTTTAGAGCAAATCGAATTTCCTGCCGTGAGCTCCAACATCAATACCTCTAATGAACCATCCATGCAGCCCCTCCTCTCCAGGAGTCACGTGATCACTGTAGGAGGTGAAAAGGTAGGCGTGGTTGGAGTCACCAAACCAGAAACTCCCGATCTGGCTATGACAGGTACGAACATCTGACGATTTTTTTATATAATGCAAACGTTGTCTAAATTCATTATGTTTTTAATAGTTGTAATGCTTGCATATACACTGTTGGTCATAATGGTGGAATAATTTTTTTTACCCCAGTTTAGGGAAATATTTTAAAAATTTATTTATTTCTAATAGATCTAGATAATGGCATACATTCTCAGATTTTATTGAATATTAATTTGCGAGTGTTTGTTTTGCGTGACTGTTAAATCATAATGTGTGCTACTATGCTAATCAACTAGGGAACCTACGTCCTTAAATCATAATTGACAGTAATGAGGATTAATGCTCACAAAAGGGCACTAATATAGCTGATCGACACGATTTTTATACTGGGGCCTCACAACAACGAGGCCATTGCTTAGCCCCTGAATCAGGACTGTACGCAGTGTTTGCTAGGGTACGCGGCCGCCCCCACAAATCCTCCAAAACGAAGAAAATGCAATAAATTGTCAAAAATTCATTGCATTTTCCCCCGGCCCCCAACAGGAAAAATTTCTCTGTGTGGCCATGCCTTGAACCATAATGCGTGGCCCTACAGAGGAATTTTTTATGTTGGGGGCCGGGGGAAAATGTAATGATTTTTTGACAATTTATTGCATTTTCATCGTTTTGGGGGATTTGTGGAAGGGGCCGCGTACCCTAGCAAACACTGCGTACAGTCATGATTCAGGGGCTAAGCAATGGCCTCGTTACTGTGAGGCCCCAGTATAAAAATCGTGTCGATCAGCTATATTAGTGCCCTTTTGTGAGGCATTAATCCTCATTACTGTCAATTATGATTTAAGGACGTAGGTTCCCTAGCTGATTAGCATAGTAGCACATATATGATTTAGCAGTCACGCAAAACAAACACTCGCAAATTAATATTCAATAAAATCTGAGAATGTATGCCATTATCTAGATCTATTAGAAATAAATAATTTCTAAAAATCCTTCCGTAAACTGGGGTAAAAATAAATATTCCACCATTATGACCAACAGTGTATTTAATTGTACAGTGAGGGTACCTTGGCAAAATAGTCATTTTTTAAAAGGCCACACTGTATGAAGAAGACTGAAATAAATAAGTAAAAAGTATATACAAGTTATTTGACAAATTGAAATTGTTGCGTAAACTGTAACGTTTCGTCGTTTCTTTTAATTATTAAAAATTTCAAAGAGTACGGATGTTTATAATTATGTTTTATTGATTCAACCTGCCGTGTTTATCTAGGTTTATCAAAGTGGCCTTTATATTTCTTTTTTGGGGAGAATTGTAAAGCGGCTTGTAGCTTTAAGGAAAAGCCCTCTAACACTCTGGCGATTGGATTGGAATCTATAAATGGGTCTCCTTGAAATGACGGTTAAAAAATACCTTTAAGTAAACAAAAAGTTGAGGTATACTGCACTGTAAAAAAATAATAGTCGAAATAACTCAATAAAATTGAGGAAAAGAATTGCCTTATTTTTATCAAGTAACTATTACCTACGACATCTTAAGTAGAATTTACTTATTTTGCTGAATAAATTTTTACTCAGTTAAATCGAGTTACATTAAAGTAAATAATTTAAGTATTGTAATCATTTTAGATAATTAAAAAAAAGCTATGATAGGATTACATATTGCACGATTTGGTACCCATCTAATCTAACAAGTAACATCCAATAATCATTCATTACTTCTATTTAAGATTTAATCGTATATATTTATCTACCACCATCACAAACTATTACATACGCTTCAATTCGACACATATTGAAAGGCTCCAAATTTTATATATACTTGATCGTAGCATCTTAAAAGGAAAATTGGTTGACAATTTCCTGAAATATCAAGTTTTGATTTGTTTTGAACTGGGCAGCAATTAAAAATTGTCTTGTCTTTGCTTAGCCATGTTAAATGAATTAGTAAATGTTTTAAAGTCCTTAAATGTTCATTCAATCACAAAAAAGAATTGTTTTATTTAAAAAAGAGTTTAATTTGGTCTTAATGAATATTCATAAATTATGTGAATATTTCTATTACGCACTGCATCGGTCCTTACTTTAAAAAGATAAGAATAATCAACATAAATTGTTTGAGTAATACGTATAATTTCTGATTTTGAGTTAAAATTACTAAATTAATACAAGCTGAAATTACTTAAAGTTCTTATGTATTTGATTTTAATTAAATATTCCACGTATGTTCTACTAAATTGAAAGTTTGAGTTAGCAAGACTTAAATTTAGTGCGTAAGTGGCAAAACTAATGTTTTCAAGTAAATTCTACATGGAAAAATACGTAAAAATTACCAATGAACAAATTCTTTTTTACAGTGTGTACTATGAAGAAACGCTTTGAGAGACTAGTAAAAGCTTGGAAAATCATATAAAATATAAGAAAGTTATAACTTTTTATTTTGTGATTAATTAAACTACGCAAAACTTTCTTCAAATAGCATTATCAGTACAATCATATGAAATGGGAAAAGTGCTCGCAAGGTAGACTACTGAGTTTACAACTTCATAAATGTGTACGCACTTACAGGGTCTTCTTAGAACTTTTCACTGAACTAAATTATTTCTCTTGTTTTCTGTTTTTTGAAATAATGAAACAAACATTGCGTTGACCTCTCCTTAAAAAGTCTTAATCTCTTTTCGTATGAAGATCATAGGAAGGGATAGGGTAATTTGTTCCTTTTTTTAGTTATCTAATATTTATTCTTTTATTTTTGTTGCATTTTAAAACAACAAAGAGAGCCCTTAAACAGAATTTAGTATTTCTTTTGGGCAAAATCTGGTATCGACAGTTCCTCTTGTTTTCTTGTATTGTTATTATAATCATATTTTCATTCATATAAACTATCAATTTATACGTTATCGTTTGATCGTATGTTCCTATAATTTAATCAAAAAAAGAATAGCTGGAAAACGTTGGAGGTCTAGTGGTTGATACACCTTGAACGAGAACCTTAACAACTAGTTTGTATTTGACATTGTCAGGAAACCTCATATTCGAACCAGTCATCGAGTCCGTCCAGGCAGCCGTTGATGCTCTCGTGGACGACCACGGTGTCAATAAGATCATTGCCCTCAGCGACTCCAGCTTTGAGATCGACCAAGAGATCGCGAGATCTGTGCAAGGAGTCGACATCGTCATTGGAGGTCATCCATATACCTTTCTCTACACAGGTATGTACCTTCGAGAGAAGGTCGGGTTCTAGATGTGTGAGTAGGCGAAGGCGATTTCAGTAGCCATGCATGTACACCATCTTTTGAAATGTGCGAACGTTATGATGGTGTGTCAAAATTTCGCGTAGATTTCAAAACAAATTTAGAAATGGGATATTTGATCCATGATTTCTCATAAGAAAGGTCATGAAAACAATGAAATCTTAATTTGTGATCGAGAATTTTTACCTGATTTATCCCAAAAAATGCAATCCACCAAAAATCTCTCCACTCTCCATCCAGGTGAAAATGAGTACCTGGGAATACAAGGATTACAAGAAATTTAGGACCTGCAGGGAGATCAGTATTAATAGTAATGTGGCTTTGTTTATGAAATCTATGTTCTTCAAATTTCACAGGCTGGGAAGCTTCTCCTTCCAGGACTTGGCATGTTTCCTCCTCTTTAGGGAGGCGGCAATGAAGACTTTGTGGCGGCCTGGCAGCGTCTTTTTTTTTTTTTAACCTAACCTTGCCATCCTATCGCTGTATTCGATTGGCTCATACGTCATGTGCTATTCATAAATATTCATGATACGCACACACACACACACACACACACACACACAGACACACACACAGACAGAGGATTCGATGCGATAATTTATCAAGTAATGAGATTTCATACAAAAATTACAAGTGCAAAGCTATTTTTAGTTTAAATGAATGACATTGCGAGAAAATCAGGTGGCTGACCGTAAACGAATGTCTACCCAGGTCATAAATTGTTCATTACCATTGCGGCATACTGGTTAGGTCGAGAATCTGGCCGATTTAATTTTGATCTCCAACACACCGTGCCTACGCAACTATTCATATATAATATATTCAAATATTAATATGCAGGCAGCGTGGCAAGGTTAGGTTAAAAAAAGACGCGGCCTGGCAGCCTTCCTCTGGGCCCTTGCCCTACCAAGCATTTCCCAATTTCACCTTTGGAATCTTGGAGAGATCATGTGATGTGGAGATGGTTGGTCAACTCGAACCTGAAGATATGTGCATCCGGTGAACGATTCACCAGCCTATCTATATCCGTCCTATATACAATGTCATGTACGTTGAGAGAATGTTTTGTTAGTTTCTCATTCGTTCCTCGTTCATTTTTCCCCGGTTCTTGCCATTATTCGTACCGACGTGTCTGTTACATTGACGGTCATTTTCCTGTATTGTTCATGTAATTAGAAGGTCATTTTTTGCCTTTTGTTGGCTCATCATTCCATTTATGAATCCCCCGAGCAACAACGAAGACAACTTTCACCACCGGATAATAATTATTTGCAAAGTTTCTATCCGTTGGGCGTCCGTTGAAGCTTTCCGGTAATGGGTTACATCTCCACTGAGAACTAAATATCAAATTCTATTAAACTGATCTAAAGATACTTCTATATCTTTTGTTGCTAGGTGATCCGCCTTATGATGAAGAAGCTAAAACAGGTGACTACCCATTAATCATCCACCCCTCGTATAATGACAGTCTCGATATCCCCGTCGTCAGCGCCTACCTTTTCGGGAAGTATCTTGGTTATCTCGAAGTCACATTTGATGATGAGGGTGCCGTGACGTCATATGCGGGAAATCCCATCGTACTGGACAAAGACGTAGCAAAAGGTATAATAAACATTGTGATGGTTCATCCTATGCAGTGGCGTGCGTAGCCTAGCAAAAGACTTCTAGGAAAACAGTTATCACCAAATAAGATGCTTAAAAAAGGAAAAATTCCGCGAAACTGATCAAAAGTATTGAGGGGGGAGAAGTGTAATTCTTCTCATATAAAGGGTATCCAAAATATCCTCTTATTTTTGTTTATGAAAGCAAAATACTTCCATTATGTTGGTGGATAAAAAACATGCCATTTTGACATCAATGCACTTGGGTAAAAGGATTTAAAAAATCAGATTCGTGAGGAAGAACATAAATCATACACCATAATTTATGAATATGGAACTAATGACACCACAGTCTCAAGACAGAGTTGCCAATTTGTCTCCATTATTTTTGTATTAGCTGTCTGATTTTCCTCGTACCTCGTTTAATCAGTTTCTATGATTTATCTTCTATTTGTGAAAGCACCTTATTTGGTGATAATTTTTTTCCTTCCAGGGGGCACCGCCATCATAGGGGGAGGAGAAAAATTGATGGTAGGAAAAAATGCTCTGAAAGTGCTTATAACAAAACAGAACAAAACATATTCAGGAGTTAACACTTGGTATTAGATGTGTCTTTAGTTGTCTCTTAACGGCATCTATACAATTGTTAACTGATTTCGGGAGTCTGTTCCATAACCAAGCAGCTGCTGACATAAATGCTTTATCTCCCTCATCATCGTTCAGTTAGGCACTCGTTTTGGGACATATTAATATGTTACATATTAATCAGATCCGAACATGATTTCTTAAAGCAATACAATCGGGTATTGAAATCGCCCTTAAAGGCATCATTTAACAATATTAAATCTTAGATGCACGGCCCTACGTGTTATCAGTGTCTGTGATATGGTGTAATAATTGAAGCCCTACAAAAATTGCGCTTCAGAATGATCATGAAGTGCCTCAAAAAAGTAAAACAAAACTTTTAGTGACCGATTTTTACCATACTCGTTTTCCTTAATAGACTGTAGTGTTATGAAAACCGTTAGGAAAAAGCAAAATTTGATTTCGATTTCTCATCATGAATATCTTGAAAATCAGACAGGTGATCGGGGTTCTTGACTGACGTTAAAGGTTTATAATTATCATTGCAGCATGAGATAAATCCAGGATTTTGTTTCAGAATCTGAGACAAAGTTACCCAATCCCTTTAACCTACTTTTTTTCGAAAGTCTTTGCGATTGCGTTTACTGTGAATCAATGGATTCTTTGTCGTGTTAGACCCTGAAGTGCTAGCTGAGGTCGAAGCATGGAAAGTTCTAGTCGACGCTACCTCGAATACCGTGGTTGGATCAGCCGACGTCGAGTTGGTAGGAAGCCTCAGCGTGTGCGGTGTCGGTGAATGCAGCATGGGTAGCATGCTGACGGACTCGATGAGGTTCGCTCACGGGATGGGATGGGATGTCGACATCGCCATCACATCGACCGGGAGTTTTGCTTCATCTATAGACCAAGGTAATGAGTCAACGATGGTTTCAATAACTATTCTAGTACACCTGGTATAATACATATTATATACTACTAATTCAGTTAAACACGATCCTGGGTCTGAGACCACGTGTAACGAAGAAAAACTAGACTTCGATCAGACTAACTTTCTTTGTTAAATCCGATTTGAAGCTTAAGCCCAGCGTCGGGTATAATTTTAGTAGAATACGAGCTTAAATGACTAATGAAGGGGGGATTCCGAAAAAAGAAAAAAATCATAAGATATTTAGGATACTTTATTGTCGAAAACTTTAATGTGGGATGCTTGGGACTGAGGAGAATTTAATGTTGAAGTAAGATGTATACAAGGGGCGTCAATTGATGCTGATAGCCTGAAAATAAACCGTAGATTTTTTTAATATTTTTTTTTGGGGGGGATGGGGGTTGCTTGTTTGAAAATTGTCGGCATACTTGTAGACATGATTTAGCCGACGCCCCTCCCACTTGCTGACATTTTAGGATGGAAATAAGTCGTTGGAGGTTTGTTTCCCCTGCAAGAAAGAAGATTTACCCGCAATAATGATAAATGGGGGTGGGGTCGCACCCTAATCCCTCTTGTGTCACCCTCCCTTATAACCGACTGAAACTATCAACCATTGCCCCCAACTTTATAATCAAACCATAACATTTGCCAATAAAAAAAGAGAACTTTGGTCTGTACTTTTTCATGAATCTCTGATTATATTAAATTGAATCGAATTGATTTATTGTCCATGAAAATGGAAATTCGTTGTTCAATGGTACAGGTGTGTTACAAACAACGAACAAATTTATACAGATTATAAAACATAATAACAACATAACATCAATAACATTTGCCAATGAAAATAGAAAACTTTGGTCTGTACTTTTTCATGAAACTCTGATTATATTGAATTGAATCGAATTGATTTATCGTCCATGAAAATGGAAATTCGTTGTTCAATGGTACAGGTGTGTTACAAACAACGAACAAATTTATACAGATTATAAAACATAATAACAACATAACATCAATAACATTTGTGTCGTAAAATTACACAAGGGCGGATCCAGAATGCTCCGGGAGGGGTAGGGGGTCTAAATTTTGCTAACAATCAAGCAGACGAAGGAAGATATTTAATTCTTAGGGGATCGGGCCACAATGAGAGAACAAACCAGGAAGCACGTTTTTCTTAGCAACTTTAAGTATACCAGATTGGTGTTTTGGGGGGTCGCTTGTGTGTTTGTTTGTTTGTTTTTAAGGGGGCATGATTCCTGTGCTTCCTAGATCGGCCACTGGTATTGTCTAATATTCAGAATTGAGTGAATTGTGCCTGAAGAAATGCTTGACATTTTTTAATGTTACACGAATGATAGCATAATGGCATAAGCTGCCACTTAGTATTCGTAATTTAACTACCCTTCATGCCTTCAAAGTTGCTCTAAAAACCTATCTCTTTCTAAACAGTGCTATTTAATCATGTCAATGTGGCGTAATAATTTGTGTTGTTTTAGTTTACTTTATTTTTGTTAAGAAAGTTATTTTTTGTGATAGTAAATACATGTATGTACAGCGCCATGAGCGTCAGAGCCTGGCGGATACCGGCGCTATATAAATATCCATATTATTATTATTATTATAATGGCTCCATGGCCTGAAATAGAAAATGTGCGCTTTTTTGTGTGTGTGATCTAAATTTGTCGGCATATGCATGTTGACCAAGCCATTTGTTAATAATACTGTGTCTTTCAAGTTACATTTGATCGTGGTCATACTCAAGAAAAAAACCTGACAGTGTAATAACGTTAAGAGTTTTGACAATTGATAGTGATCTTGATGAACGATAAATATTAAGACGGCTAGTATACCGTGACGACATTTGCTTGTAATTTTTATGATTGCCTGATTATTTTTTTGTATGAAGGGTTTTAAGCCAATCAGGAAAATCGGCATATCTGGTGCGGTACAAAACACATCACATTACACACCCTACCAGTCAATATTTGTATACTTTATACTACGTAATTTGTATTTCCAATTTAATTATTGATCACAGTTATAAATGAAGATAATCTGTGGTATGATCTCTGAATAGGCAACATCACCATCAGTGACCTGACACGCACCATTCCCTACGGTGACACTATCGACCTTCTTGAACTAACTGGGGAATCTATCATAGCCATTCTTGAGAAATCCGTTACTGGTTTTGAAACTTCTTCTGCATCGACTGCCTTCTTGCAGCTTTCAGGTATTACGATTGGTATAAACATGATAACTACTGCGCCCATTTTGCATTTTAAACAGAAATTTGCTTGATATTAGTAGATTTTTTTGTTTAAAGGGAGAAATTTATATCCATTTATGCCTGTGTAATAAAACAAGTGTAGTCGTCGAGCGGTTTAAAAGCACTTGACTTGAAAGTCAAAGGTCGTGGTTCGATCCCCGATACGGCACTAATGTCCTTTGGCAAGGCATTAATCTTCGTTTGCCGTACTCGACCCAGCTGAGGTAAATGGGTACCTGGCAGGAATTAATTCCTTGAAAATGCTAGAGCGCTGAAATAATAATTAATGCGCCCCGGAATAGAATTTCTAGATAGACGGCGATATAGAAATGCCTATGATTAATTATTATTATTATTAAAAGGCGTCGACTGCCTTTTTGCAGCTTTCAGGTACAAATATAAATCTGCACATTTTATCAGGCCATTCTGAATTTCGAAAAGAAATGTAGCTCAAATGACAAACAAAAAGAAAGATATATATCAAAGTATGCCTGTTGAATAAGAGGCATGATTTTGCTTGCGTTTTTACACACGCTATTCCAACCAATGGAGACACTTAGTGCGTGGAACAGTAATTATGCAAGAGTATTGCATTCGCTTTTGCCGTCACTCTCTTGTGGCTTGTAAAAGACCGCGCTTATCGGTGTCGCAGTGCTACGTCTACAACGCTTTAACGCCCGTTGAGATATGACACAGTAAACCGCCCAAAAATACCTGTCGACTTTTTTTGATTTTTTAATTAATGTGAAGCTGAATGGCAAATTTCAAAGGTCCTACTCAGCTCTTTGTTAAAAGATGCAGAAAAGTGAAGCGCAGTACATTATCGACATCATCAACAAAAAACCGCCGCGGTTTACCAAGTCATATTTAAACGAGGCTTTAGGTGATTAAAACTATGTGAGGCTTGAAATTTATTCAACAACGTTTTTCTATTTCACACGATTTCCATCTAACTATAATACATTTGATCACAATGGAGTCATTAATGAGTTTTTATTTATGCCTACATTTATTTTAGGAGCGGTGGTCGAATACGACCTAACGCACGAGAACGGTGATCGCGTCCTGAGTGTCAAACTTCCATGTGACTCATGTGATGACGGATACGAAGCTATCGACGTCGAAACCGTTTACCATGTTGCGATGAACAGTTACATATCTGGTGGTCAGGAGGGATACACCATCATTCTCGAAAGTACCATCAGTCGAGTAAGAGGTATATGAATTCTTACGAATTTAGTATATTTTTCTTGTGAAGTTGTGGAGTAGGTGTGTGTAATTGGGTTTTTACAGACGTGTATCAATCAAATATGATTATTTACGTCTGGAGACCGACCTTTAACGTCACCATCCGAAAGACGTGACTCAGTTTCGAACCAGTACGTCCTCGGCTGAATCAATTTGTAACTTCTATTGTTATATGGATTACAGGCGCACGCCACAACGCATCCCGGTAAAAAAGCCTTATGAGAAATGTAAATAGTAGCAGGAGACTTTATATGGATAACTGTATAGCACAAGGCTAATCTGCCACAAGATCTATGAATCAGCATGGACCATTCAAATATTTACCTAAGCTACTCATCATGGACCTTAATTCCACAAGCCCTGCTTTCAATCAAGGCCGTCTCATCTTTCTATTGTAACGCAATATTCTGAGAATTTGTTATATTCATGTCATATTTGTAATGTGTGTGATGAAAGAATGATAAATAAAGCTTGAACTTGAACTTATCGTTGTTTGCATTTTCATTTGAATCGACGTTTCATGAGTTCATCAGCCTGCATGTTCTCAAATCCTTGACTGTAATGTTGACTGCATGTATGCTGGCGGCGTGGGATCAGACCCCCGATATCGTCCTCGATCCGTGAATTACAATTTGCCTAAGATATTTACTAAAACGCGATCGCTAAGCGTTTCGAGAAATTTACTCAAGAGAAATGTCTAGAACCTATTGTACTAAGGATCAGTTTGAATTACCTTACACGTCATAGTAATCATGGTAACATTCCAATATTTCGATAGATGATACAAATGTCCTTTGAAATTGCCTTGCATTCAAGATCTATTTTTAATTGTTTTGTACCTCTACTGTCACCTATTACCCCTAATTGTCTCTTTGGATTCATTAGGAAGCCTGGACGTCGACGTAGCCGTGTCTTACCTCAATGATTTTTCCCCAATCATGGCAAGCACCTCGGCTCGTATCGTGATCTATGACGAGGAGAATCGACCAAATGCATCCACAATGCTCACAGCGCCATCTCTGGGGGTTTTGCTCCTAGTTTTTCTCGGAAGCATGATGGCCTTCAAGATTTAAGCCTCGTTTAGACGGTTGCTTTTTTTTGTATGATGACGTAAGAGTAATACACTTCACGTTTCTGTATGAACATCTCATATTATAAGATGATGACGTGGATCCTAATCAAATGATTGTTTGAAAGCGTACACGTGACCAGGCATTTATTTTGCCTAACGCATAATTTGGATAATGACCGGTCACTAGTAAAATCATGTTCTAAAACATCATTTCATAAAACAAATAAAACATAATCTTATAAAACAAATAATACACATAATTTTGTTCGGGCATTAGGCTATCGCCTCGGGCGTCTTAGACTGTTCCAAAGGTACCGAGTGTGGGTAATTCTTACTAGTGCCCCCAATGCTGTGTATTATTTGTATAATAATACGCCGAGATTAGTGAATACACGAAGGACCTTTGTTGCGCGCAGTAGCTATTCATTTACACGTTATACAATAATTAAAATAGCCGAGGTTCACTGCGTCATATCTGAGCGAGACTTTAGTTTCATTAGGTTGGATGGAATACAGTATTCATTTAATACTACCCTAGACGCACAAAATATTATACAGCTATAATAAACGTTGTATCCCAGGCTGACTGTTACTTTATCACACGTTTCGACTATATGGTTTAATAGTCTGAACGAGCCTTTAGTTTCAGTAGGCCAGATTGAATACAGTACTAATTGAATACTAACCTAGACGCACAAAATATTATCCAGCTATTATAAATGTTGTATCCCAGGCTGACTGTTACTTTATCACACGTTTTGACTATATGATTTAATAGTCTGAACGAGCCTTTAGTTTCATTAGGTTGGATGGAATACAGTACTCATTGAACACTAACCTAGACTTTGCACAAAATATTATCCAGTTATTATAAATGTTGTATCCCAGGCTGATGTTACTTTATCACACGTTTTGACTATATGATTTAATAGTCTGAACGAGCCTTTAGTTTCATTAGGTTGGATGGAATACAGTACTCATTAAGCACTAACCAAGACTTTGCACAAAATATTATCCAGTTATTATAAATGTTGTATCCCAGGCTGATTGTTACTTTATCACACGTTTTTACTATATGATTTAATAGTTAAAGATTGTAAATAACGACTTAGTTTCGTATTTCATCAAGTGTTAGCATTTGGGGGAATGGTATGTGCATTTGCATCATTATAATGTTAAACAAATATTGAGTACTTCAGTTTATACTTCCTATTGAATATTAATAACTATTTTATGGATTAAATTATGTAATTCTGATTATTGTGATGTAAATGTTGTTTTCGTATTATATATATATATTTTTTTTATATGTTCCACGTTGTAAGAAAGGTTTTCTGACGCGATATGATTTATAATCACAGTTACTTCCAAATACTCCCCCTTTTTTCGGGGAGGGGGAGTTGACATACAATTTGAATAACAACTAGACCTAAAGTATTTTCTTTGCCTGTTGATTCACTTGAATGATTATTTTTTCCCCCGCTTTTCGGAGGTAGTTTGGCCTTCTTTCCAGGTTTTGACCAATGAAAATCATGATATCATGATATTCACAGGATGAATGAGTCATGTATTTCGTTTAGACTACAAGACCACATATAATGTTTATTTATATTGTTTATATTTCTTTTAAAATAGTGCAAACCTAGTGTTAACGAGAATCATGAACGTTTTTGTCCCTGTTTAAAAAAAATGTATATTCAACTTCCAAGCGTTTAATAATCTATTTTTGCTGGCACATCATGGTTATTCACTAAGTAAAGATAATCTATATAATTATGTTATGCACTGTTCTTAAATATCTGAAGTAAATTAGCTGTGGCTAGGTTGAGTAATACGCTAACTAACCTATGGTAAAAGGGTTCATAGAAGTAATAGAACTGGTGAATTACAGAAAAAGTATGGGTAATGATAGGAATCGTCAAAATCCTACAGGGGTTATATACTAATAAAGCAGTTTTATGTAAAAATTAATATTAATGGTGTTTTTTGCCTCTTCTGTTGTCATTATTTGGATGTTGTTTACTTTATATTCTCCCTTTTGTTTTAAGGTCTCAACCTTCTCACGCACAAAAAACGCAAATTATTATTAATTTACCCCAATCCAAACAAGAGATTTCCATGTCTAGACTAATATCGATAGTACTTTATTCGTCAATCATCCCTGCTACAGGCTGCCCTCCTCTTTCTCTTTCTCTTTTCTTTTCTCTTCTTATCTGTCTCTCTCACTACTTTTTTTTGGTGAGTTTGTTTTGTATGTACGTGTGCGTGTGTGTGTGTGTGTGTGTTTTATCAAAGAGAGTGGGATTGATATGATTATAATAAATTTAAGTCATTACAAAATATGATTTATGAAATGGATAGGAATATTTTAATTCCTTTGTCGCAGACACGAAAGTCATTGTGCGGCTTGTCTCATTGTCGGTAAAATAAAGTAAAAGAAGAAACCCAACTTAATGATAGTGATGTTAACGATCAATATAAATCGGTCTTCTCACCAGCGTATTTGAAAGAGAGGCACGATGTGGGATTTGCACCTCCTTCTCTGACAGATTTACAACGAAGGAAAAAAGGAGTCTGCACATAATTAAGTAATCATTTGTGTTATGATTTAAGACTTACTATCCATCAGTTCCAATTTGTTATTCCTCTTTTCTTCTCAAAGGAAATATTTTGGGTTTGGGCGTGACATCGCCTCCTCTGTGACGCAAACCAGGGCCCTCAACAACTTCGTAATAACATCGTAAGAGGGGTGTTAGCAAGATGTAATGTCCCATTGACCCTATAAAAACAACTATGCCTCTCATAGCAGTCATTATATCTATATTATTGACCTTATACTTCCGTCTCTTTCAGCATAAATCTACAGAATTGCTGAGTTTGATGATGTAAAGAAACGTTTGGTATTTTATGACAAGCAGAAAATAACGAACACAACTTTAGATTTCAACCTAATATTCGAGAAAAAAATTGATGAAATTTTCATAATTGAAAGTGGTTACACGATGGTATAGGCGGAGATCAACATCCCAGGGTATTCGATAATTCGTATGGACTGAACTGGTCATTAAACAATGGTGGTACAGCACTTCTTGTTGTAAATCGAGTCTTATTTCATGATATCATTGACCTCATATTTCCGTCTCTTTCAGCACAAATCAACAAGATTGCTAAGTTTGATGATGTTAAAAGACGGTTCATATTTTATGACAACCAGAAAAAAATGAACAAAACTTTAGGTTTCCAACTTATATTCCAAAACAAAATTGATGAAGTTGCCTTAACGGAAACGTGGTTACACGATCATATAAATAAATCGGGGATCAACATTAGGGTATTTGATAATTCGTATGGACTGAACTGGTCATGAAACAACTTTAGGCTTCAACCTGTCAATGTTCCATTGGTGAAGAAGAATTGGACTAAATAATTGATGAAAAAGATTCTCGTTCTACTGAGAAAGTCATCAATGTAGCTGCATGATAACAGTCCGTGATAACACTGCGATATAGATTGCAGAGACATTTTTAAAAGGTGAGTGCTTTCGGTTTTTACATTGTAAATGACCTACAGCACCATTCACTTCTGCTAGCATTCATCCCGCTTTTAGTCATACTAGTCCAGGACCAGGACCAGGCCCAAGTAATGCAGCTCTCGTGCCGGTGAAATTGCACACGTTTAAATGATTATGAGACTGCATCTTGTTTTGTATCGAATATATAGGTCATTATAATATAACAGATATTGACTTTTTCCTTGAGGAAAAATATCATATTTCATTTCTCTGGGAGAGTTATATTTTGTCTCGGAATATAATGTCCCTCGACAAAAATATAACGCCCTCGAGGTTCTCAAATGTTATATTTAAGTCAATATCGGTATAAAGTCCACTCCAAAAATAATTTGCTTTCAATAGATGCAGAAAAACAAAAGAAACAGAGCAAAAAATATTTTGTTAAAGTATGAAAAACTATGGAACTTACAAAATCACTACACAAATTCCCAATTTGTTTATCAGTTTGTGACATCATCCCATAAATTTCCGTTTCTATCCCCCAAAACTTGATTACCCTATGGCTTTACTTGAAGTTTTACAATTTCTTTTTTAGAACTTTGAAGAATTGATACTATTTTCTGAATATTGTATACTCATAATCATTAATTTTTATATGAATAGTTTATCAAAATTAACACTTTTCACGATTTAACTGAAAAAATATATATGTACATCCACACAAAAACAAATTACTATTAATGTTACTTAGATGCTTATGTGAAGAAATTGGATTCTTAGGGGGAAAATAGGAAATTTATATTATCAATTCGGTTATAATCGAACAATGTGAAGTACCTTATGTATGCTGATGAGACTGTACTGCTGGTTAGTGCAAAGAAAAATCACATGAATAACATAATGTAAAGTGGTTTCTTCAAAATAAGCTGACACTAAATTTAAAGAAGACAAAGTTTATGTGGTCAGGCCCTAGTCAAAAGTTGACAACATTTTATTATCAATATTTTTATCTCTATTATCATCACATTGAAATATTTAATATCACATTTAAATATCTTTGCGTAATGCTTAATTTTTTGTCTCTCATTTCCTCAAGCAACGTTTATATTTCTATAATTTCAATACATATTTACATTAGTTACTCAATGATTGAAAGAAAAAAAGTATTGGCTAAAAATTAAAGTACACTGTTTATTCAACCATTCTTCCAGCTTAGTAATTTTTTCTTTGCTTATACATTCGTACCGTAAAAAGAATCTCATCAACGACTTGAATAAACAAAAAAAGGCATGCATGTTGGTAAATAACAAAACCATTGACAATCTTGTTAACGTAACATTCATGAATTGCATATTGCGCATAATGATAGTATTTCTTGTTTTTATGTCCTTACCTACAACTTAAATGTTTTGGTTTATTTGTGAACTATCAAATTACATAATATTTTCCAAAACATGATCACATCCTTGCAATGCAGGTGAAACGTTGAATCAACT